CTGTCAGCACACAAACACCCTTACTGTGAAATCTTCTATGAAGTGGAATCTTTTTTAGAGGACTTTGTTAAATTTTGTTTTACATATCTTACAGTGCATCTAGAAAGTATTCACAGCGCTTAACTTTTGCCACATTTTGTTATGTTACAGCCTTATTCCAAAATTGATTAAATTAATTTTTTTCCCTCAACATTATACAAACAATACCCCATAATGACAACGTGAAAGAAGTTCATTTTGAAATCTTTGCAATTTATTACAAAAAAAAAAAAAACACATGTACATAAGAATTCACAGCCTTTGCGCAATACTTTGTTGAAGCCCCTTTAGCACCAATTACAGCTTCAAGTAGTTTTGAGTATGATGCTTCAAGCTTGGCACACCAATCTTTGGGCAATTTCTCCAATTCTTCTTTGCAGTATTCTCAAGCTCCATCAGGTTGGATGAGGAGCGTCAGTACACAGCCATTTTCAGATCTTTCCAGAGATGTTCAATCAAGTTCAAGTCTGGGCTCTGGCTGGGCCACTCCAGAACATTCACAGAGTTGACCCGTAGCCACTCCTTTGTTATGTGGGTTGTGTGCTTAGGGTCGCTGTCCTGTTGAAAGATGAACTGCCTCCCCAGTCTAAGATCCAGAGTGCTCTGGAACAGGTTTTCATCAAGGATGTCTCTGTACATTGCTGCATTCATCTTTTCTTCGATCCTGACTAGTCTCCCAGTTCCTGCAACTGAAAAAACATCCCCACAGCATGATGCTGCCACCACCATGCTTCCCTGTAGGGATGGTATGGCCAGGTGGTGAGCCGTGCCTGGTTTCCTCCAGACATGATGCTTGACATTCAGGCCAAAGAATTCAATCTTTGTTTCATCAGACCAGAGAGTTTTGTTTCTCATGGTCTGAAAGTCCCTCAGGTGCTTTTTGGCAAACTCCAGGCTACCATTTGCCTTTTACTGAGGAGTGGCTTCCATCTGGCCACTCTACCATACAGGCCTGATTGGTGGAGTGCTGCAGGGATGCTTGTTCTTCTGGAAGGTTCTCCTCTCTCCACAGAGAAACACTGGAGCTCTTTCAGAGTGACCATTGGGTGCTTGGTTACCTCCCTGGCTAAGGCCCTTCTCCCTCGATCGCTTATTTTGGCCGGGCGGGCCGCTCTAGGAATATTCCTGGTGGTTCCAAACTTCTTCCATTTATGGATGATGGAGGCCACTGTGCTCATTGGGACCTTCAATGCTGCAGACATTTTTCTGTACCCTTCCCAAGATCTGTGCCTTGATACAATCCTGTCTCAGAGGTCTACGGACAATTCCTTGGACTTCATGGCTTGGTTTGTGCTCTGAAATGCACTGTTAACTGTGGGACCTTATATAGACAGGTTTATGCCTTTCCTAATCATGTCCAATCAACTGAATTTCCCACAGGTGTACTAAATCAAGTTGTGGAAACATCTCAAGGATGATCAGTGGGAACAGGATGCACCAGAGCTCAATTTTGAGTGTCATGGGAAAGGCTGTAAATACTTATGTAGATTTGTTTTTTTTTTTCATTTTTTTATTTTTAATAAATTGCAAAGATTTCAAAACACACTTCTTTCACATTGACATTATGGGGTATTGTTTGAAGAATGTTGAGGAAACAAATGAAGTTAATCCATTTTGGAATAAGGCTGTAACATAACAAAATGTGGCGAAAGTTAAGCGCTGTGAATACTTTCTGGATGCACTGTATATTTCACCAAACTGATTAAAAGGACATGTAACACTAACTTGATGATATTGAAGGGTATTCAATAACGAAAAAAAAAATGGAATGTACTGCAGTTTACTTTTCCTTAGATATGGGGGCTCAATTTGTTTTCTTCACCAGGTGATCTTGGAAAGAAATCACATCCTGTCCCAGGGTGCCAACCGTACTCAATCTAGGAGGAGCAGTGCTGTCACCCTAGAGAAGGGAAAGTGATAGGACTGCACTTTCTCCATGACATAGAGGGGAGGTGTTTTGTAGTCAACAGAGGAAGCTGAGAACAATGCTAACTGATGACTGTCCATTGAGGAAGAGAACACAGGAAGATATAGGCTCACAAAATTTGTGGCTAGATCATTATTACAGCTACTCATATAGCACCATCAATTTACGGAGTGTTTTAATTATATATTGTATGTTCACATCAGTCCCTGCCCTCAAGGAGCTACGCAATCTAAGGCCCTTAACACACATTCATACATACACATAATAGGGCCAATTTAGACAGGAGCCAATTAACCAATCAGCGGTCTTTGGAGTGTAGGAGGAAACCGGAGAACACAGGCATTTTTTTGCACTTACTGAACAAAATGCTTTTAATGGCTGTGACAGTGTGATCTGTCACGATGTAAAAAGGATATTTTGCCCAGGATTCTCAACAAGGTAGGTTGAGGGGCTCCAGGGTGCTTGTTTAAGTTGGAGGAAACTGTGTTTGCAGTTTCCTCGGTTCTTTGTAAAACTCTGGAACGCTTGGAGATTTCACAGTGATCTGGGTGGGAGGAAATCCCCAATCCTGGGACTAGGTTTTGGGAAAAGCCAGGAGACTGATTGGGCAGGTGTGTGTGAGTCTCTTATAGAGTCAGGACCAGGGTTCTGGGCTTAACCCCCCAAGGAGTCCATGTGGGTGCTGCCACAAGTGTGCATGGTGGCACAGAGTAGTCTGACAGAGCAGACAGAGAGCCCAAGCCTGTGGGCTGGAGAAGCAGGAATGCGGTGAAAGCGTGCTAACCAAGGTACAGCGTTTTGTATGTGAATGGCCAAGAGGACCGAGGCATAAAGCCTGAGCAGCGGTGCTGCTAAAGAGAGCCAGGAGGCTGAATCTTTTTCTTTTGCATTGATGGTGGATACACCTGCGTGGAAACCTATATTGTATGGACTTTTCTTGTTTTCCTTTTAATAAAAGTGGGCTACCGAGCCCTGAAAAATTGTTCCTGACTGATGTGAACTTACTGGCAAATGCATCTACCACTGACTTAAACATCCCCATATGTTACATGGCTTATTTAACAGACCATAAAGGAGCAAATAAGATACATTTATTGCTAGAGTTTACATACACTTTAAAGGCTAAGCTTCCGTTTTAAAAAAAATGCACATATTTTTTGCAGGGAAAAAAAATCTGCAAAGCATTGCACTCATGATCAGTGGATTGCAGGTGTAATGCAAGGCTCCTGCAGGCTCTTCCTTCAGCTCCCTGCAGATGGGACTTGTATTCCACTCATTCACAGATCTCTGTGACTGAATGATGCAGCTGTGCCCTGCACAGCCACACCATTTCAAAAGTGACAGAGGCTGTGGGGATGAAGAACCCGTGCACACTGTCATGGGAAGAGGAGTTGGGGTTCCTCTTTTGCACCATGTTACACCCTAAATGTGGGTGTAACATGCTGCAAAAGTTCAAATTACCCTTTAAGTTTGCTAAAGCACTGTGCAAAATAATAAGTGCATTTTTTAGGTTGAATATGTTTTTATTATTAGAATTAACATTTTATAGCAAAAAGATAATCATAGAGAAATACAGGTAACTCAAAATCACATAAATGAAGCCCCATATACACTCACAGGTCTCTTTATTAGGTACACCTGTTCAATTGCTTGGTAACACAAACTGCTAATCAGACAATCACATGGCAGCAACTCAATGCATTTAGGTATCTAGACATGGTAAAAACGACTTGCTGAGTTTCAAAGCCAGCATCAGAATGGGAATAAAGGGAATTTAAGTGACTTTGAATATGGCATGGTTGTTGGTGACAGACAGGCTGTTCTTAATTTTTTCAATAACTGTTGATCTACTGGGACTTCATGCACAACCATGAGAGAATGGTCTGAAAAAGAGAGAGACTGGTTCGAGATGATAGAAAGGCAACAGTAACTTAAATAACTACTTGTTACAACCAAGGTATACAGAATACCATCTCTGAATGCACGACATGTTGAACCTTGAAGCAGATAACCTACAGCAGCAAATGACCACACCGGGTGCCACTCCTAACAGCTAAGAACAGAAAACGGAGGCTACAATTTGCACAGGCTCACCAAAATTGGACAACAGAAGATTGAAAAAACGTTGCCTGATCTGATGAGTCTCGATATCAGCTGCATTATTCAGATGGTAGGATCAGAATTTGGGGTAAACAACATGTAAGCATGGTTGTGGTGGTGTAATGGTGTGGGGGATATGTTCTTGGCACACTTTGGGCCCCTTAGTACCAAATGAACATTGTTTAAATGCCACGGCCTACCTGTGTATTGTTGCTGACCATGTCTCTCACTTTATGACTACAGTGTACCCATCTTCTGATGGCTACTTCCAGCAAGATAATGCATCATGTCACAAAGCTCAAATCATCTCAAACTGGTTTCCTGAACATGACAATGAATTCTCTGCACTCCAGTGACCTCCAGTCACAAGATCTCAATCCAATAGCGCACCTTTGGGATGTGGTGGAACGGGAAATTTGCATTATGATGTGTAGGCAACATATCTGTGGCAACTGTGTGATGATATCATGTCAATATGGACCAAAATCTCTGAGGAATGTTTCCAACACCTTGTTGAATCTATGCCACGAAGAATTAAGGCAGTTCTGAAGGCAAAAGGGGGTTTAACGCGATACTAGCAAGATGTACCTAGTAAAGTGGCCAGTGAGTGTATATCCATAATGAGAAACCAGTAGCAGTCCCAAAACAATCATACAGTATCATCCTGAGTTATAGAGGAAACCCCAGATCTAACATAAAAAAGAGAGTGAGCTTATGATGCAGATGGTTGAATCAAGGCTAAAAGCTCACGGGGGGTTGAAACGACATAAAGTAATGGATATATATCCATAAGAGGGAAAAATTATAAGAGGACAAAGCAGAAAGAGAGAAACAGGAATAGAGAAGGAAAAGAGAGGAAATGAAGACTGAGTTTCCCAAGAGTGACTTCAAATCACCTCCATGGCCACAGGTGTTTAAAATCAAGCACCTAGGCATGCAGACTGCTTCTACAAACATTTGTGGAAGAATGGGTCTCTCTGAGGAGCTCAGTGAATCCAAGCGTGGTACCGTGATAAGTTGCCACCTGTGCAATAAGTCCATCTGTTAAATGTTCTTGCTACTAAATATTCCACAGTCAACTGTTGGTGGTATTATAACAAAGTGGAAGCAACTGGGAACAGCAACTCAGCCACAAAGTGGTAAGCCACATAAAAAGACATAGCGGGGTCAGTGCATGCTGAAGCAGAGTGTGTGCAGAAGCCGCCAACTGTTTGCAGAGTCAATAGCTAAAGACCTCCAAACTTCATGTGACCTTCAGATGAGCACAACAACAGTGCGTAGAGAGCTTCATAGAATAGGTTTCCATGACCAAGCAGCTGTATCCAAGCCTTACATTACCAAGTGTAATGCAAAGCGTCAGATGCAGTGGTGTAAATCACGCTGCCACTGGACTCTAGAGCAGTGGAGAAATGTCCTCTGGAGTGACGAATCACGCTTCTCTGTCTGGCAATCCAACTGACGTGTCTGGGTTTGGCGGTTGCCAGGAGGACAGTACTTGCTTGACTGCATTGTGCCAAGTGTAAAGTTTGGTGGAGGGGGATTATGGTGTGGGGTTGTTTTTCAAGGTTGGGCTTGGCCCCTTAGTTCCACTGAAGGGAACTCTTAAGGCATCGGCATACTAAGACGTTTTGGACAATTTCATGCTCCCAACTTTGTGGGAACAGTTTAGGGATGGCTCCTTTCTGTTTCAACATGATTGCGCACCAGTGCACAAAGCAAGGTCCATAAAGACATGGATGAGCGAGTTTGGGGTGGAGGAACTTAACTGGTCTGCACAGAGTCCTGACCTCAACCTGATAGAACACCTTTGGGATGAATTAGAGCGGGGACTGCGAGCCAGGCCTTCTCGTCCGATATCAGTTCCTGACCTCACAAATGTGCTTCTGGAAGAATTGTCAAATATTCCCATAGACACACTCCTAAACCTTGTGGACGGCCTTCCCAGAAGAGCTGAAGCTGTTATAGCTGCAAAGGGTGGGCCAACTCAATATGGAACCCTACGGACTAAGACTGGGATGCCATTAAATTTCATATGCAAGTAAAGGTGTGTGTGTGTGTGTGTGTGTGCGTGCGTGCGTGCCTGTCTGTCATCATCGCAGGTAATCGCTGGTTATGCGAAAAGGCACAAATAGCTGTGGCTGCCGTCAGCCTATCATTGCACTATGGCCCCTGCTATCTGCACTCAGCTGTCAATTTCAGCCATAGGAACCAGCACATTCTTGCCACTGGGATTTACAGCATGTGAATGGTGCCTAAATGTTACTGTACAGGGAAACATGAGAGAGGCTGATGCGAAGTCACATTTAGGTACTTACACTGTTTGCATGTAGAAATACATTTATTTATTTTTTTATTAATACTGTACTGTGTTTGTTGTTGTTTTAACATCGGCCTGGAGTTCATCTTTAACCACCTTCTGCCCGCCCTATAGTAAAATGACGGCGCAAGGTGGTTCTCTCGTTCTGATAGGACGTCATATGACGTCCTACCAGACTCACTGCGCATGCGCGGCTCAGGGAGCGTGCAGCATGGCGATAGCCGATGCATGGAAAGACCGAAGATGTCGGCTCGGTCATGTGATCAGCTGTGTCCAATCACAGCTGATCACATGTAAACACGGAAATGCCGGTTATCGGCATTTCTCTCCTCTCGAGTGGTCACGCTGACAGCTCGAGAGGAAAGGAGATCCGGTAATTGGCTTTCCACTGAGGGGACATGTACACTGATCATCAGGGCACTGATCAGTGTGCCCTGATGATGTGTGGCCCCAGAAGTGCCACCTGTCAGTGCTCATCAGTGCCACCTGTCAGTGCCCATCAGTGCCTCATCAATGCCACATATCAGTGCCCATCTGAGCTGCCTTTCAATGTCACCCATTAGTGCCAGTCAGTGCACACCTATCAGTGCCAGTCAGTGTCGCCTATCAGTGCCAGTCAGTGTCGCCTAAAAGTTCTAGTCAGTGCCGCCTATCAGTGCCAGTCAGTGCTGCCTATCAGTGCCATATATCAGTGTCATGTATCAGTGGTGCCTTTCAGTGCCCATCAGTGATGCCTGTCAATGCCCATCAGTGCAACCTACCAGTGCCTCCTCATCGGTGCCACCTATCAGTGTCCATCAGTGCAGCCTATCAGTGCCCATCACTGCAACCTCATTAGCGCACATCAGTGAAGGAGAAAAATCACTTATTTACAAAATTGTATAACAAAAACTAAGAAAAAACTTTTTTTTCCCTAAATTTTCAGTGGTTTTTGGTTTGTTTAAGAAAAAATAAAAATCCCAGAGGTGATTAAATACCACCAAAAGAAAGCTCTATCTGTCTAAAAAAAAATGATAAAAATTTCATATGGGTACAGTGTTGCATGACCGCGCAATTGTCATTCAAAGTGTGACAGCGCTGAAAGCTGGAAATTGGCCTGGGCAGGAAGGGGGTATAAGTGCCCTGTAGGCTAGTGGTTAAAGTACATGGGAAGAGAGGGGTAAAAGCCATGTGTACACAATCTTTCTGCATCAGCTTTGAAATGGATTAGCTTAGTTAAAGCAGAGTTCCAGTTAAAATTTAAAAAAAAAAAGTCAGCAGCCACAAAAACTGTAGCTGCTGACTTTAAAAAAGGGACAATTACCTGTCCCTCGATCCCGCAGTGTCCCCCCCCCCCCCCGCAGCCAGTTTCACCGGCCACCCTGTGATCCTGGCACTGGCATCTTCAGTGTGGGCACCCGGCTGTGACAGCTTGCGGCTTCACAGTCGGGTGCTCACTGAGAATGCACAAATGTGAATGGTCCCGTAGTCTTCTGGGACCTGTCACGAGTGCCAGAAGACTACAGGGAGGGAGGACAACTTCCGACTGCCTAGGCGATTGCAGTGGAAGTGGGAGCGGGTAGCTGTCAACTTCGGGTACCAGCTCCCCAAAGGCGCCAATGCTTAACGGGGAGCGGGGGACCAGTCCTTAAAGTGGAACTTCCCCTTTTGGGTGGAGCTCCGCTTTGATAGGGGGAAAAAATTAATTTTGCCAGACTAAGGTTTTGGTGAGTGTCCTTGAAAATGTCCATCAACTTCAACTATTACCATTAGTCTAAACTTGGCTATAGATGTGAAATGACTGTTGTGATCTCACATCCATGGAGTGAGTAGACAGCCACAAGCCAATCTCTCTTGGATAGAAGGAGTGATCAGAATGTTCTTAAAACCTTGCTACTGCCTGTCCCCCTATCACCCAAGACAAGTAGTGACAACAAGGCACACAAAACAGTTTTTGCACAGTCATATGAATCATGTTTAAAGGCTGAATTATTTATTTACAAGGTGGCCTTTACAGCTGGCCTAACCAGACAGAAGATTCACATTCTGCCCTTGCTGTATTTCACAAGGCATCACAGGACATATTGTATTGTTCATTTATTTCCCCACTCCTGGTTCCTATCCTACCCCTGCATATAACAGCTGATTCAGTGTTCTTTCTTGGGCTCCCTTGGGCTACTCCATTACCAGTCAGCTCTCCTGGGGTTGCCCGGGGCACAGCACTCTTAACTCCCCCTCCTTGCCTTGATGCTTTGATCCTTCTTCTTATCTCCCCTGGTTACAATGATCCTCACTTGCTCAGCTCCCCTGGTATCATGTCTTCACAGTCCTCCTCTTGACAAAGTCAGCTGCTTTCTACACGTCTCATCTCAGAGACCAAACAATGGGAGCCACTATACTACACTCCAGATATACATTGTTTCTGTTCTGCCTGGTACAAGCCATTTAGTTCGAGTGTTTCTTTATCTAGAAGCTATTCTGCAGTGTTCCATTTAGAGAATATAAATTCTATACATTCTGTGGAAGCCATTTAAATAACCCGTTACAGAACATCAGCACTGCTTAGAAGAATGTGAGATCTAAGCAGAAAGTTTTGTTTTTTCTTATTATTTTAAACAAAACTGGAATAACTGTCTCTTTTACAGCAAGAGGGCAGCAAATATGCAATCCGTTTCCTGACGTTCTCAAAATTGCATGTGTGGCACAGTTAGCATGGTGAGAAAGAAAAATAAAATCCCACTGCATCATGGGAGCTAGGTAAAAAAAAAAAAACCTATTGGCTGCTGCTACACTGTCCCTTGCAAACAAGAGACTCAAACAGGAAGTTTAGGGCAGCTGCACTGATAGATTTGGAGCTGGTGGCAGTGAACAGGAGCAACTGTAAGTGTTTTTGGCCACATAGCTTGCACATTAGGTGGTGGAAATGCTTACCAGTCTGCTTAGCATGCAACATTCAAATATGTGGAACATTTAAAACTACTTTAAGTAAATTAATATTTGAGTATAGGGTGGCTTTAGGACCTGCTGATATATAACACATTAAGGAAGAGGTTTACACGTGCACATGAACTCGGCATCAGAGGCAATGTTTGGGGCAAGACAATGTAAAGCAGACATTTTGTTGGAGTACTATGCACTTTGTCACCCCTGAAATCAAAAGGTACTTGGTAGACATGAGAAAGAATCAAAATACTGCCTTTTAGCTCCTATGCAAACAAAAGAGTGCCTACCTACAGGCAAATATGAAAAACAAAGTGAAGGATAAAAAACACTTTATCCTTAAAGAGTAACTCCACTTTTGTTGAGAAAAAAAACATTCCCTTCTAGGTGATCATTGTACACTAGAAGGAATTTAAACTTTTGTAGAAAATTCCTACCCTTCTCCTAAGAAATATCAGTCAGTCCTTTGCTGACAAATTCTGAATTGGAGTGACTGGTTCATTATAATCAGCTGATGCCCTTTTTGTTCTAATGAGAAAAGCTGCACTTTCTGCATCCCTTTAGAAGTATTTACCCCTTGGGTATTATTTTAACAAAACGTAAATTCTTATTGTAGAGGATGCCCAATAAACTTCAGAGAAAATCAGTGAGACAGGAAACTATATTCTAGGGGAGTTCTGTACAGCAAAAGTCTACAGAACACTTCCAGGTTGTCTTATTGCATTGAATTTTACAGAGAATTACAGCAGCTGCAGATTGAAAAGGAAAAGTAACTTAATAATAAATTATATTGTGGCTCCTGTAGCATTAATGTAGGCTTTATTATTGTTTTTTTTATTGGTTCTATTTCTTCCCACGAAAGTAAAGCTATCCTGGAGTAAAGTACTTCTAATTTCTCCAGAATTAAATCATTGTCACTCTAGAAGAAAGTGATGGGCACTACTGCCTGGGTGTATCACAATCAATTCCAGCTGTTCTCTACGGTGACGGGCTCTCCCTTTCCACATAGCAGGCAAGGGTACAAAACTTCAAGAGCTTCTGGTAGCTGAACTCAGAGTCTGGGGATGACATCTACAAAGATAATCATGTTGGTTCTCCTTGAGCAGCCTAAGCAGAAGGGTTTTCTTGTGGATTTTAGTAAGGAAGTTCTATGATCACAATATACACTTTCACCTAATAACAACAGGATTGTAATAGCAATACAAACAAAATAGTTATTTTTGATAATCCAATATCTGCTTACTTGAAAATTCTCCTTTAATGTTGTGAGTTCTGCCTGTCTGCTAGTCATTGATTTCCACGATTTTCTGGATTCTCTGCATGCTATGCAGATTCTCCTCTGCTTTTTATGTTCAATTTCTGAGGACTACATGTCCCATGGTAACTTGCCTGCAAGCAGTGCTTCCTGTACCACCTCCGCCTCCTGAAACTCCTCCTCTCATTACAGCTGTAGTTCAGAAGGCAGGCTCTGTGAAATGTGTGATACAGAAGTGTTTATCCACAGGGTATGCTGAATATGTGTCATAGAACGCAAGAAAGCAAATATGTGGGAATCTTCACAAAGCAACTTTACAAATATGAGATCATGTGGAAATGAATCCAGAACTTTAGGACTTGACTACATAAGCTTTAAAGAGGCAGTACAAACATCCAACATCTCCAAGTTACAAACATCCAACTTGCCTATGACTCATACGTAAAAACAGAAAAAGCGTGAAGCCAAGCTGGGCCCAGAGACCGTCGGGCGGCCATCTTGCTGCTCACTGCATGCTGCCACAGACTGCTTGGCAGACCTGTCAGCAAACCCACATCACTACATGGCCAGTTAACCCTTCCTTATGCTATCCAAAACTTAAAAATTATATTTTGGCCAGAGTTACATTGAAAAAATGTACCTGTTCCAACTTACATAACAATTCAACTTCAAGCGGAGCTACAGTCAAAAAATAAAAGTCAGCAGCTACAAAAACTAAGTGTGGGCACCCAGCTGTGACAGCTGGTGGCTTCACAGATGGGTGCCCACTGCATAGACACGAGTATCGCTGCGCCTTATGAATGGTCTCTGGGACAACTTCCTTTTCTGATTGCCTAGGCCAGGGGTGGGCAAATTGCGGCTCTCCAGCTGTTGCAGGACTACAAGTTCCATCATGCCTCTGCAAGTCATAGCTGTAACTGTCAGTTTTGTAATGCTGCAATGCCTCATGGGAAATGTAGTTCCACAACAGCTGGAGAGCCGCAGTTTGCCCACCCCTGGCCTAGGCGATCGCACTGGAAGTGGGAGAGGGTACCTGTCAAAATCAGATACCTGCAACCCCCCCTTCCTAAAGTGGAATTTCCCCTTTTGGGTAGAGCTCCGCTTTAAGAACAAACCTACAGAACTTATCTTGTTTGTAACCCAGGGATTTCCTGTATTGTTAGTGTTAGGCCAATATACTGGACAAAAAAAAATCATCAGTCGTATCTAACATCTACTTTAAAGTCACAACTATCTCTCTGCAAGTCTGTAAGACCAGTATAGATACTCTCTTAACTACCTTTTTTATTATGACCTGTTTGTTCCTGTACAGAACAGCAACAAGGAAACAGAGAACAGAGCCTAATTTGGACAATTGTTTGTTTTTTTTCAGGGTCAAAAACAACTAACCTCAGTCACTGTTGCAAAAGCCTGAATGCGACATGAACACAATGCTAAAGCATTCTCTCTCTCATTTAAATGAGTGACTTTTAAAATATACATAATACAAGCACAGGCCTGACAGCTAAAACCATTGCACTGGAGTATGTTTACTTGTATACAAATTGACAAGCTACAACATTAGGCCACATTATCCCTAACAGCAGTTTGTGCTTACCGGTTAAACCGCTTCTTCTCTTTGTCACAACAAACTTTGCGCACACAAATCACAGTTTCACAAGAACAGTCATAGAGT